TCGCTGCGGTGATGCTGAAACCAGAGTTGAACTTTTTTGCATTTAAATGCATTTTTAGTTTTTAAATTTAATTTATTTTATTTTTTTGTTTATTTTAATGCATTCATGATTTTAAAATTTCAAAAAACCCCAAAAAAAGCGACGATCCACACAAGTTTCTGCATCAAGCCTCACGCAATATTTGCATCTCTTTATTCAGGTTTTTTTTTTCTTCTTCTATAAGAGAAAAAATATTTATTTATTTTTTCTTTTTTGTTTATTTAAATTCAATTTGATAAATTTTACGGCAATATGTTGCGATCCTTTACCGTGAAGGGGAAATTCAGAAACTTGGGTAGCTGCGTATACACCTGAAAAAATTGCGGTGTATGTGCAGCTTCTGTGTGCACTTGCATCGCTATAGCAGCGACTTTATTTATTCCTTTTTTCGTTAAAATATTTAATTTAAATTTAAAATGATAAATAATTTATCATCCGCGTGTTCAGAGGCAGCAGCAGCAGCACCAGACCTTCTCCTGCAGCCCCCCCATTACGCTGCCTGTACACCCCATGGCTCTGCATCAACAGAAGCAGAAGCTTCAACTAACGAAAGCACTGCAGCACCGCCGCTGCAGCTAGCTGCCAGTAGATCCATCCAGCTTGAGCAAGCCAGCGGCAGCAGCAGCAGCAGCAACAGCAGCAGCAGCAGTAGCGATTGCTGCAGCAGCAGTTTCTTTGCTCTTCTTGATTCAGCTGAAGGAGCTGTGGGGTCAGATCCCAGCGCCATCCCCATCTCCTCCTTCTCCTTAGATTCCTCATCGCAGCATGCGGTTAGCCTGGAGCCAGCAGCAGCAGCAGCAACAGCAGCAGCAGCAACAGCAGCAGCAGCAACAGCAGCAACAGCAGCAGCAGCAGCAGCAACAGGGTCACCTGCTGTCTATAATACCCCAGAGGTGCTGCAGCCGTCTCTGAATTCCCTTTCTCCTTTTGGTTTAACGATAGGCGCCAACAACTTTGCTGCTGCTGCATCTGCTGCTGCTGCTGCATCTGCTGCTGCTGCATCTGCTGCTGCTGCAGCAGCACCACAGACTGCAGCAGCAGCAGCACCACCAGCAACAGCAGCAACAGCAGCAGCAGCAGCAGCAGCAGCAGCTCCTGATGATATACTGTCAGAATATAGTGGCCGTCCTGTTGTCTCCCGCGCGGATGTATTTGCATTTATGAACGAAGAAGAAATAAACCAAATCCTAAAAAAACATAATTTAGCTGTATGTACACCTCAATTTATCTATTTTATTTTATTTTATTTTATTTTGTTTTATTTTATTTTATTTTATTTTATTTTATTTGTCTCTTTTCTTTGAGGGTTCATAGGAGAGAAACGCCAGCTATTTATCTGTTGTCTGCTTTATGTATTTATTTATTTTATTTGTATGGGGCATTGCTGTGTTTTGTTTATTTTTGTTTGTTCATCTCTGTGTGTTTCTGTTTTTTTTATTTTTTTTGTTTACTTCTGTTTGTATTTTTTTTGTGTATGCTGGTGTGTGTGCGTTTGTTTGTTTGTTTGTTTGTGTTTGTTTCTTTATCTTTTTTTTATTTAATTTGGTTTTGTTGTTTACGCTTTGTATCTATTGCAGCTCATTTTTATTTCTTTTTATCTCTGCTTCTTTCATTTCTTCTCCTGTGCACCAACAGCAGCAGCAGCAGCAGCAGCAGCAACAGCAGCAGCAGCAGCAGCAGCAATATCTCTCTCTTTCTCTCTCTCTCTCTCTGTCTCTGTCTTTCCTAACAACACAAAAAGCAAACAAACCACCAAACATACACCCCCTTCGTCCAGAGCCATAACAACCCATCACCTCCCCCGTGTGTGTATATCTTTTCTCCTGCTCTGCTGCTGCTGCTGCTGCTGCTGCTGCTGCTGCTGGTGCTGCAGCTGCCTGAATACAAAGAAGAAGCAGTATTTTCTTTGGGTGAGGGAGGCCGAGAGTTTCTGCGGGCTTCTTTGCTGCTCTTTGTAGACGGCCATACACTGCAGGGCGCCAACCTAAAACAACTCATCAAACAAGCGCATGCACTGTAGGCACACAATTTGTGTATATATATGTATATATATATATATATATATATATATATATATATATATATATATATATATATATA